ATTATTATTATTAATATTATTTTTAAAACCAAAGAGTAAACCCAGGGGCACTCTACCCCTGCTGTAACCCCAGCCCTTTTATTTTTTTTACATCCCCAGCCCTTTTTAATTTTTTTAACTTTTTAAGACAGGGTTGGGCTAAATTGCTAAAACTGGCCTGGTACTTCTAATCCTCTTGCCTCAGCCTCCCAAGCTGCTAAGATCACAAGCATGCTAGGCTTTATTTTCTATTTTAAGACAGAGTCTATATTTCCCAGGCTGGCCTTGAACTTGTGATCATCCTGCCTCAGCCTCCCCAGTCACATGGGATTACATGTGTGTACCACTGAGCCTGGCAAGAGTTCCATATTTTTAACAGTGATTTACAGTACTATTTATAGTATGTATTTACAAAGAAAGACCTTTAGAAGGGTAACTAATACACTTAGGTTCACTATGACTTGGAATAGTACTGGAACCTAGATGACTTAGATTTTGGTTCTTATGTTTTTCTCCTACTAATCACTTTTGCAGGAGGGGGAGGGAGGGGGGGTGCAATACTGGGGTTTGAACTCAGGGGCACTCAACCATTGAACCACATCCCCAACCCAATTTTTGTATTTTATTTAGAGAAAGGGTCTCACTGAGTTGCTTAGTGCCTTGATGTTGCTGAGGCTGGCTTTGAACTCATGATCCTACTGCCTCAGTGTCCTGAGCTGCAGGATTACAGGTGTGCGCCACTGTGCCTGGCTCCACTAACCACATATTAATATTACTCTACAATTAATTTAATTTGTTTAAGGATTTCAGCAGAGGGAAGCAAACTGGCTCAGATTTCTATTTAATGGTTCCCAAACTTGAACAAACATTAGAATCATGTAGAAGTTCTGACTTAGAATAGGGTGCTATCTCATAATCTGTTTTAATAAGCAATTCTGATGTGCGAATTTAGGGGTTGAAAAGTAATATCAGAGAACTGCTGCTATGGATTGAACAGTCTCTCAAAGTTCATGTGTTGGGAACTCAATACCCAATGGGATAGTATTGGGAGGTGGGGCCTAATAAGAGGCTCTGTCCTCACATATGGAAAGGATTAATGTCCTTATTGTGGGAGTGGGTTAGTTATTGGGAGTGTAGAATTTGCTGGAAAGGCACACTTAGCCCTCTCTTGTCCTTCTACCTTCTGCCATGGAATGATGAAGAAAGAAGGCCCTGAGCACCTTGACGTTGAACTTCCTAGGCTCCAGAACTGTGAGCCAAATAAAATTCTGCTGTTACATATACCCAGTCTCAGGTATTCTGTTAAAGCATCAGAAATTAAAACAATGTCCATATTCTCTACCATTCTAAAATGCCAAGATGCATAATACATGTGTAAATGAATTTCAGAAAAGAGTTTACTGAGTGTTAGATTATTTGAGGATTGTGAAGAAGAAACTGATGTACATTCAGGTACATCACTGGGTGCACTGGAAAAGTACATGGAGAGAGAAGATCTAAAGAAGGTATAATAGACAATGGGGGTTGGCAGGGTTGCTAAAGATTAGCTAGAAACAAATTATAAGGGGACACTGTGATGACAGCAA